ACCACTATTTGCAAGTTTAAAGCAGAAAAAGGTGACGTTAATTACTAAAAACCAGACAGATCCCATTAGCTCATAAAAGAGTGTAAACTATAGTTCTTCCTGTGTATTTTGGACTCTTAGGTCACAGTGATGTATAACAAAGCTCTCCTCTGGAGAAGCTGGACCAGGGTATAGGATCCATTTGAGATAGTGAGGGCATCTGAATGAAAACCACAAGACAAGCAGTATTTCAATCACTGTATTAAAATATATTGTCTTACAAAAAAATGATGCCAGGCTGCAAGATCACTTTTTTTTTTTTTTTCACTTTTATGTTCTTTAGGTGGTATTTTTACTTTATTTTCTCTGGATTTTTGCATATATTCCAGATACCTGTTTTTCTGGGTTTTATGTCTCATGGTTCCCTAATTTACAAATGCATTAGTACACTTGAACCATCAGTCTTAAATACAGGTTATTCAAAAACAAAATAGAGCAAGAAATTAACCATCAAAGTAAGGAAAAATACTCTATTTCTCTGCAGGTGGTACTTCAAAAGACACTAACTGAGAGAAATAAAATTACTTGGAAAGATTGGAACAAACTTTAAAGCACACACAGTCTCTTGAAAAGACTATTTTTAGCAAACTAAAAGAGGTGTTCTGTAATGGTATATCCTTTCTAAGACAAAATGTGGTATGGGAAGCATTTTCACTTTTCTTTGACAAAACATTTTTATATAGTCTTCAAGCACATTTGTCTGAGGCATATACCATCAAATCATATGTAAAATGACCAGCAAGTAACTGCAAATACTCTGTTAATGTTACTGGTTCAGAATTGCAGGGAAATGTACATGATCTCTTTAACTCTTCAACAGTAGCACTCTCAGCCAGGAGAAAGTGCTTAAATACTTAACTGCATTAACTCTTCTGAAGTAGAAATCTGTTTGAGGGTGAGTGTGTAGAGTAAAACCAGTTCAAAGTCAAAGTAATTAAAGCAGTTAATCGGTTAAAATAATTAGAGCCAAGTGTCCTGTAAACATAGCAGTTATCCTGCAGTCCTATGGAAAGAAAAGGAGAAGTTTGTATGATCAGGCTGTCAGTGTTCCCTGTGGAAATAGAAAGAGATGAAGCAAAGGAAAAAAGAATAAGGCGTATAAAGCCAGCTTGCCATATTAAGAAATAAATACAAGAAGAAAGGTGCACCTAAGGCAATGACTTAGGGCTTAAAACTTCAACCAGTGGTTCAGACTGCAAGGCCTGAGATTTACTGCTTCCTTTTGCTGGAATGGAGAAGGGCCAACAAGTTTTGATAATGAGCCAAAGTGAGTTCCTCTGCACTGATTTTCCATTGTGCTCACTAAATTCTTGTGTTGGTGCTGTAACTTTGTGTAGTTGCAGTTGGGATTGAATAAAAAAAGATATACCAGGCCATGTAAAAGTAGGCTTTCTGCTTACTGGCAAATTGGAGTAAGAAAATAGAAAGCAACTGAGGAATGGTATTACGAACTATTGCGGTTTAACCCCAGCTGCCAAGTGGGTACCACGAAGTTGCTCACTCACTCTTTCCACCCCCTCCCCAGTAGGATGGGGAGGAGAATAAGGAAAAAGGTAACCCCCTATGCATTGAGATAAGAATAGTTTAATAATTGAAACAAAAGTAACTTAATAATGATGATAGTGATGATGATGATGATGATGAAGATGATATGATGATAATAAGGGGGGGAGGGGAGAGAGAGAGAAGAAGGAATAAACACTGCCCCCTGAAAAAAAAACCAAGTGATGCACAATACAGCTCCTCACCAGCCACTGATTGATGCCCAGCTTGTCCCCGAGCAATGTTCGGTCCTTTCCAGCTAAGTCCCCACAGTTTACACACTGGGCATGATGTTCTGTGGTATGGAATATCCCTTTGGATATTTCAGGTCAGAAGTCCTGTCTTTTCTCCCTCACAGCTTCTTGTGACCCTCCCCTCTGGCAGAGCATGAGACTTAAAAGTCCTTGATCAGGGTAAGTGCTGCTTAGCAATAACTAAAACATTGGTGTGTTATCAGCACTGTTCTCAGACTGAAGCCAGAACACAGCACTGCTAGAAAGAAAATTAACTCCATCCCAGCTGAAACCAGCACAAGAACAAAGCTCAGCTGAAAAAGTGATGTCCAGAACTGGATTCAGAATTTGGATCTGAGTATAGCTGAGGATTACTTTTGAAATGAGATGATAATTTTTCCTCTATAATCCTACAAAATTAAATTTTCTCATAAGACCTTAACATCATTTATCTGATTGAAAGAGATGTAAAAACACCCCAGCTTCTGGTTTTAGATCTAATCCTAGACAGTAACGTCATCATGCCCCAGGAGGTGTCTGCACGTGCTATAGGTGGGAGCAGCTGGGCCATACCCTCTGGTCCACAGTGAATTAGAGCTGGCTCACAGTTCCGTAACTGTGTTTATACAGTGCTGTGCCTAAGGATATATCCCTTGATGAAAAGCAGTGGCTGAAGAGATGGAAGCTCTTTGGAAGCTCAGTACCTCCTAAACACAGCAAGCATACGGCTCTGCAGCTGCTTGTTGAGAGGTCCTTGGGGACCAACTGGGCTGGGGTAATCCAACCATGTCACCCCCGAGGCCAGAGCTATTGGGCCAAGAGAAGTGATTCACCTTCTCATGGGAGACCCTGGCACACAAGGTCTCTATGTATTGACATACGGCTAGTTTGAAAGTCTGGCAGAGGCTGGTAGAATTTGCAAAGCTGGTAAATGCTGCTTTTCAGATCTCAGCAGCGAGAGGGAAATGCATACAACAGGTTGCTGTGCTAAATTATAGACATTAAACTGTAAAATAAAGTTCTGCACTGTAAAGAGTAAAGAAAAGTTTGTGAGTACAAGGAATCAGCAACAGATGGAAAGACCTTTAGAGCATTTTGCTCTTCCTGAACACTGACTGTGGAAAAGTACTAGGAATGAAAAGTATGCTAGCAAAAATGTTATTTGGCTGCCTTTCCCTTTCTAAACAGATTAATTCTGGTCCTTCATTAATCTTGTTATTATATAATATGATAGTTTAAATTTTTTAATAGTCTGTATTTGTGCACTCATATTTTGGTGGACATCAGGGTTAATGCAAAACCTAAATTTTCCAAGAGAAAATGTTGATTCTACTGTTTGTTTTTTTTTCCTCCCAGTTCGTTTTGGATAGTGTTGACAATAAGCTTTACCTCTTTCCAAGCTGCCATGGTAGCTGCTGAGCTCTTAATTCAGGGACAGTATTGATACAAAACACCTTTTGTGATAGCTGCTTCAAGGACAAAGTTGAATTTGCCAAAACTAGATTCCAATTGAAAACATAGCATCAAATTAGCTTTTTTTTTTTTTTTGCCTCTTTTTATAGAAGTATCCACATGTCAATTGCATTAAGTCACAGGCATTTTGATAAGACAACTCAGAATAACACAGCCCTGGGAATAAGCTTCAGTGAGAGACTTAGGCTCCTACCAGGCACATATTGCAGTACTGCGTTAGCAGCTGCTCTTGGACATGAAGTCATTTTCAGTATGTGCTGCCTGTGAACATGAAGCAGGGTAGAGGTGAGGAGAGGAGAATGCACCTTGATTTTGCCCCTCCGCAGTAAAGGAGAAGGCCAGACTAGGAAACACTCCTGTTTCAGGTGGTCCTGGCTACTTGGGTGCAGAGCTTTGAGCTTTCTCCTAAAGAAAAAGAAGATGCCCAAGTAGGATCTCTCTGTCCTCCCACCTCTCCCTTTGCCATCCATGCTTTTGTATCTCTGTCCCAGCTATAACACAGTATACCTTACATCAACCCACTTGTTTCCCATATTAGCTTATTATTAGCATATTCCCGTATTTCCTTTATTAACTCTTTAACCTAATTAGTGGCCTCTCCTTTGCATCTCTTCTTGCTTTGTTTTTTTGTGGTACCAGTGAGGAAGGAGGTGGGACTACAGCTTTGGCAAGGGAAGTTTGGCCTGAGCAGTGGGGACATCCTGTTCAGTGGTGTTTCCATCTCCCCTTGCATGTAGGGAAGAGGTGATATGAAGCTGGGCAGTAGATGTTGGGGCATCTCTTATAGAGAAAGAGAAGACAAATGGGAAGGAATGTGTACCTTGGAAATATTTGCTATACCAGGAGAGGAGCCTGGGGAGAAAAAAAGTGTATGAGCCAGAGATGGTGTCAGACGTGCTTGCTGTTGCGACTTTCATGTTGGCAATGTTGTGCCTGTGCTTTCAGCACAGGTACATTTAGGCACATAACATGTTCCAAGTCTTCTGCAAAGTAGGTCAGCTGGGATAAAAAGCTGTAAAATATTTGCTCAAAGACCACAAGTTCTTCAAAACACACAAAGAAGATTTTAAGCAGTGGAATTAACAGTGGAATTAGCTCTTGGATTTGTTTTTACATATCTCTGCTGAAGAAGACCAGTGAGTATGAGAACAGCTGGGCAGAGTACCCTGCGTTATTGATAAAGACTTATTTGAGCAAAGCAAAAATATGATTCTTTGCAAACTCAAGGAGACTGATAATTAAATGCTGCATAAAAGCCTGTGCAGACACCTTGGATACCCTGTGTGAGAGCCACGTGGTGAATTCCAAATGGGTGAGGTAAAGCATAGGATGCTGGGGTGAAACACATTTGTCAGAAGCACTGATTGTGCATTCGTCACAACCTGCATTGCTGCTGGTCCCTCTTACTCCAGACATTAGGTTTCCTGAGATATTCAGTGAAATGAAAATCAGTCTGCTGCAAAAATATTTTCTTGTCTTAAAATGTGGAATTTCCTTCCAGGCCCTCTGTTGTACACTGTCTGCAGATCTAGTACAAACAATATTACAGAGTTCTTCAGGCACCCAGTGCCCGAAACCCAGTCAAACCCACCAAAATCTTTATGCCCGTGCAAAGAGAAGTTTTCACTGAGAGAAGATAATACCAAGTACTCTGTGGTGCAAAGTACCAGTGATGTATTTTCATTATTGTAACAAAGCACTAATAACAACTGATCGTATTTCAAAATGGGATGTTATTTTTTAACAAACACACAAAAATGCCAAACCATTTGGTAATTTCAAGTCTTTGGTGCCATATATATACTTCTGCTGTAAGATTTGTCTAAAAAATTACCTGGCAGCTCCCTGTCAGTGGAGGTCTCTGCCCCAATGTCTCAGGGAGATGTACCAGGGACTAGAGGAGTAGGGCTGATCAGTGTGACCATCCATGGTCAATGAGGTGCAGCAGGAGTCCAAAGACACTGAGATGCCCTGAGTGACCACTGGTGCCTCAAGAAAATGCTGTACCTGCAAATGGCCTGCAAATGACTCAGAAGCGATATCTTTAGTTTCTGTGGTCTGTCAGAAAGCCACACACATTTTCCATTATTATATTCACATCTTTTAAATGGTGTTACTTCATAGTAGTTTCCTGATTTACATAGGACAAGCATACTATAGTGCCTTTCACATAGGAAATTGTTAAAACCCTCTTGCAGAAGTCATTGCCCATCTCTTTTTGCTGTCAGCTTTTGATGTGTAGCCAGCAACATCAGTAGAGTATGAACCCTCGGTTCTATGGAGGACTGCATGAAGGAGTTTTCTTTGGCATTGGGAAATAATTTCATTGCATCCTTTTGAGCGAGTTTGTAACTGGGGGAGAACATGATGAAGAAGAAAGAGCCCATTGCAAAAAAATGCAGAGATGAAACTACCTAGAAGTATGCTATATTAGCAAGATATAAAAAACCTGAAAACATATTTGTTCTATGGTATTTCCCTTCTGTCTACAAAGTCCAGAACAGTCTCTCCTCCTTCATTGATTTCTTTCTGGCCTTCTTCAACTAACCTGTGAATTGTGCTATAATGTTGTTTGCTACTGCTGAAAGAGTAGAGCTGGGAAGCATCTTCCCATGCCTGAAAAGATGGCAGGGGAATCGCTTCTGGTTCCTTGTTCTCAAAAAAGCACTTCAGGTTTCTCTCGCTTAGCTTGGTGGCATACAGCTGGAAAATCTGCTCCAGTTGCTCCTTCTCCTTCCCCTCGTACACATTCCAGAACATCAGCTGGAGGTGGCTGACTTTTGACTGGCAGCTGACACAGCAAGTGGCTAGCAGGGAGAGAAGAGCTGTGGTAACTATCACACACCAGCCTAAAATCTGGGAAGACAAACAAAATGAGGTTCAGGTTAAAAAGGACCAAGTGAAAATGCTCCTTAAATCAAGAGTGTCTGACAGAGTGACCACACTTTGTACAGAGGACTTGCTGCTCCTCTTGGGACCCCACTGTGGGTGTCTCATCCCAGTTTACATTCGGTACTTGGCATTAGTGTTAATGGGGTGCCATTAACACTGGCAGTTGCAGGTTCAGGGACAGATGATCTCCAATCAGACCTGAACTATAAGACTGTATGAAGAAGAATCTAAGGGAAATCTAAATGATCAATCAAATAATGTTATGGCTGAGTAGAACTATACAGAAAACAGAGCAAAGTAGTGTCTGAGTAATTTAGAGAGGATATCGGTGAAAGTTTACTGCAACGCCATAACCACCTGGTATGTAGCATATTGGAATTGCTCACCGAATTCTGTCACACAAAGGGAGAAGTTCATAAAGAAAATAAAATATCACAATCACTAGATGGTAAATGGTTTTCTGTCTCCTGAAAGTCTTAAATGAAATTACTCAGCAAGAATTAGGATTGACACAATTCTGAATTGTGATGAATTACAATACCAAAAAAGGTAATTAACTTTTGTCCCAGGTCAATCAATCTCTTAAACTGTGACTATTTTTAGACGTGTTGTTTTCAGGCTTCTTTTTAATGTTAAATTAAAATGTTTTAAATTAATAAATAATACCCCCCAATAAAAAATAATTAGCAAACAGCAATATAAAAGATGAGCTTAAATTTAAAACGTGTTCCCCATTTCTGGTACAAGGAGATTCACTGAAATCTACGCTATTCTTGTGAACTTTTTTTGACTTCGGTGAATCAGCCCTTTGTGGCGGAAAATAATTTTTATGGCAAAACTGGTTTAAAATTACCTTCTTGTCCAGTCCTGTGAGAATGCTGGGAAGAGAAGGCATGAAAAAGGAGAAATAGCATATGCATTGGCAGGTTTGTGTTGGCACTGTCATACAGCACAATTCATCTATGCTGAGTTAGAAATAGTTGTTGTATTTTCAGAGAACTTTGGGGTTTTTTGATAGCAACTTTGTTTGACAAAATTCTGTTAAGAACATCTTAAAAGAAAGAGCTAATTCCAGAATTAGAGCAAGGCCTGGGGATGGGAAAATGTCCCTGAAATTGATACTATGGGACGTTCTTTTCTAGGGAGAGCAAGGTTTGAATGCAATTTTCTCATTCCTAGCGACACCAGCCTAGCCGTTTTACCCACCTACTGCACTGCAGTAACATCTGCAAAAAAAAACAAACCGTAGGTTTCAAACAGTAGAATTCTGTGATTCTGTGATTCTGTGAAATTCCAGTGTGTAACTCCAGTGTGAAAATATCTTCCAGGTTTTGGAGACCTTTATGGACTGGAACTGATTTCCCATGCTTTAATAATGACCACATGGAAAGCTGCAACCTTTCCCATGTGAACTCTTGCACTGATGTTAAAAAAATAGCTGCCAGTAAAAATACATATTTAGCTGAGGGAATAGAGCAAGTTTTCTCTGGGAAACAGAGAATCTTGACAAACTGTTATTCTTAGGGACTGGTATGGAGGAATAGCTTCACTTTCTTTTCTTTTTCCAGCCCTCTGTACCGACTGATGGTTTCTGTGGGTATTTGAGAAACTGTTCTTTTTAGCAGCTTTTTATTTTCTTGCAGCTTGGAGAATGAACTCATATATTCTCTTGCTATAAACTGAGTCACTGGTCTTTAACTATTTCCTATACATACAGATTAAAGTCGTAACAACTATTCGCTTTCCTTCCAAACCTCTCAAATTGTTTTGTCTGCAGCGCAGGCTTTGGCTGCATTCCAGTCCTATTTGCATGAGGACTTGAAAACAAAACCAGCTCTCAGGGAGGAAATAGTTCCAGGTGGATACAATTGTCTGGCAAAAAGTTGCTGGCTCTACAGTTTTTCCTTCCTGCTGACAATAATCTTTCCATGATTTTCTGTAGCCCTTTTTTTTTTCCCTTAGTTTTTATTTTTTGCCTCCGAATTTATTTACATTATAAGGCAGTGATCAGAAATGTATGACACAAATGTAGTGAAATGTAATACAATGTCAACTTTGTGTGTTCTGCATATTTTATTTTAGTGTTTCTCCCTTCCTCCAAGCAGGACAAAAACATTCTCTCATCTGGCATCATGAACATGAGGAATACAAATGGAAACATATTATGTAAGCAGCCATAAATCTGTCACGTCTTATTTTCCAGTATTTTTTTACTGTTAGTGACCTAAGATTTCATTGTAATCAGGATGATATAAAATAGGAGAATGCGGTATGGATTTTTTAGTAGGACAGACCCCTTTAAGGGTCTGACATCTGTTAATTCAGCCTCCTAAACAATCCAGCAGTTTTTTCTCTTTAGAACAATCTTCATTCAGGAAGAAAACTTTAAGTTATCTGGTCTTATTGATCCTGCCATCTGTGGGGACCCCTAGGAAGTGTGGCAGAGCTCAAACTGAACTAAAAGATGTATTGATTCTATTTTGCAAGGCTGCATCATGCCAAAACTTTGTTTACGTGAAACCAGTGGTTTTATCTTAGCATCTGACATCAGGATCTTCCACAGATAAATCACAGTGATGGTATAAGCTGCATAACGCTCTTTATTTATTTTTCTTACCTGGGACTGTGCTTGAAGAGTTCGTTTCAGTTCATCACTCTCTGAAAAGGGCATGGAGCTTTTGTCACAGGCAATCTTGTGTAGCTCTTCAAAGCACTCTGCAGATTTGCTCTGGCAAACTGCATGTAAGTAGGCAGGATTCTTCAAGCCACTCATGGCACATTCGTAAAAAGTCCCATTGAGCAAAGCCACAGAAAGCCACATCACAGGGGCCACCAGTGCATTTAAAGTGATTTGTCCAAAGATGTAAAAGAAATGGCAGATATTCCCTCTGGGGAATATTTTTCTGGGATTTGCCCAGCAGCCTGTAAAGAGTTTCCAGGTCTTGCTGTTTAAGAAATATCCAATAACTAGCAAAACAAAAGCTGGAGAGAAAAGAAATACCAAACCATACCTGAAGTTTTCATTGCTGCAGGGACATCTGAAAGCAACAAGAGAAAACACACGTTCACCTCCCATTGTCAGCAGTGCCATAAAACTGTAACCTATAGCAGTTTTCTGGTTCATAAAGAACTTCAGGATTGTTTGGAAAGCATCCATGTTTGATACTCACTGGAGAGGTAAAAATCAAGACGCTTTTATCTTTGGTTGAAGCAGTCTGTAGTATGTAGCAGGGGAGAGCTCTCCAGAGGAGCAGCCTGCTGCTAGCCTGCCCACGTACACGCTGTCTAGATAATGCGGTGATGTCACTGTCTGGAGAAATGCACTCACAGGAGACCCCTCCGCTACCAGAGCAGATGTTGCACATTTACGGTAATGTTTGTCAGAAGGAAAGCAAGTAATGCTCTGTATAATCAATTAAGTTTGCAGTCTTGGCAGTCTTATTCTTGGTGGGTTGTTGTTTTTCCTCATGACTGCGGATGGAGATCACAGTAAAAATGCATACCAGTTGCAGGAGTTCTTTGAGCTGTGATTATCAAAGTTGCTGTCAATGCAGTGAACGACCTAATATAGGTGCTAATGGTCCCAGCAGAGTGTGACATGGCTGAAAGACAAGTGATAAAAGTAAAACCACTTTGTGTGGGGTTGTAAATGTAGGAACATCAGAGATGGAATAGGCAGCCTTCTGCTGTACTTCACATAGCTCCAGGTTTGCACCTCTGGCTCAAGCTGTTCATAGAAGGGACAAGTCTGATTTCCAGCCTGTCTGGCCCTTCCCCTAGTTTTCTGGGGTAGAACTGGTCTACAGGATGCTGCATCTAATATTTCACCTGGGGCTTGCACACAACAGATTCAAGCAACAGAGTTGCATCCTTTTGCAGGTTGCTTTCAAGATGTACCTTGGGGTCACTCCTAGTGTGAGCTGCAGTAACACAGCAGGAAATGTATTCTCCTTAATCCTGGACAAAAACCCACTAGTGGATTTTGTGGAGGAGCTGCCAGCAGAACGAGCATCACTTTGCTACTGTAACCTCCTCTGTGGGGTGATCCGAGGTGCCTTGGAAATGGTAAGGAAGTGCCCATCTGTTTTCTCCATTCTTTGTTAATATGCAGAGGCACGGGAAGGCAAAGCCACTTGCTCAGGTAAATGAGAGAAATTGCTAGTGTTTAACCTCTCTCTCAGATTAAATGTCTATATCTAATTCCTGGGCTGCTTTGTGTTTCTGTCAATATCTAATTTGTCAGACACCTTCTGTTTCAAGAAAGCAAAATCTGTACAAACATGGTATATGTACATCATTCCAGGAATTATAGTGCCTGATATAAGACTAATTAACAAAATTATTATTAGTACATGACCAGGAAATTTTGTGATCACAAAATCATCAAGTTCACCATACAGTAGAGGTTCTAGAAGAAAGCAAAAGCACTGGAATGAATGGTAATGTATTATAAAAATTTCAGTGTACATAAACTTGGTTTTTACTAACTTCAGTGTACATAAACTTGGTTTTTAATAACTTTGTTGGAAAAGTTATTTTAAAACAACCTAGAAATCTGCTTGCCATGAATCCTGAAAAGGGGGTTCCCTTATAATAAGAGAGAAAGAAAAAGCTTGTTATTCTGGAGGAGTGGGGAAAGTGGGGGAAACTGGGCTTTTCTTTGCTTAACTGATCAGACTTGATTCTTTTCAGGTTCACTTAGCAGCAGAAGTTACCTTCCTCCAGGACAGGCTGAAGGGTGATGCTGTGACAGAAATAGGAATTACATTTTTAAGGAAGGCTGAAGACAGAAAGCACAAAAGAAATAAGTGAAAGAAATACTGGGAGAAGCCCATGCTGAGTGGTATTTTTCACCTTTTGTTTCTGAAGAAGACATGCAGGGTAAAAATGGCTTCACTGATCCAGGTGCACCAGTCATACATTTGAAAGGTGAAGAGAGCCGGGCAGCAAACAGGAGGGGCAGAGCAGGGGCAGAGCAATGTTAACTATCATGGCACAGATACCAGTATAAAAGATCAAAATGGCCTGCCCCTCCTTCTCATGTAACCATGCTCTTGAGCGGAGTGGAAGTTTTATCTCAGTATTTAGTGCACGCTGGATGCAAAATACTCATTTGGACACCAACTGTTTTCAGCTAACTGTGACCACCTTTTCCCTTTCTGTTTTTTGGTAATGTTTCAAAGCATGGTTGCTAGGTGGTGCTTTATTTCCTTGGCTATTTGTGATTAGGAATAATGAATTAATCTTCTGTGGCTCCTGGATTTAGTGTCTCGCTGCCAGGTGCCTGCTTTGATGAGTAATGGTTTGCTATTCATTGTCCTCCAGACTGGTTGTCGTGCTTTGAACCAGAGAGGGATGTGGCTTCACTGATGCAGGAGCCTGTTTGGTCCGTTACAGCTCTTTCAGACCCCAAGTGCACTTTTGCCAGCATGGCTGTTCAGCCCCATGCATGCACATGCATCAGGCTGCAGTACTGACAACTGCAGCAGTGCTTGTGTTGCTTCAAGCTATGGTCTTTTTCATGTCAGCCTGCTCTTCAAGAGCACTGGTCTTATGACCAAACTGAACAAAGCATGGCATATTTAATGTGTTGTCACTGTGGATCTGTGCTCACCTAAGGAAACTCAAATAAAAATTCAGAGATTGCCACACAAGTGGTTTGCTGGTTGTTGTGTCTGTTCTTACGTCTTCCCCTTCGCAGTGGACTTGTTACCACAACATGATTGGGAAGCAGAGAAATAGCAGCCTTGCAGAGACCTGAGTTATAGGGAAGGTTTAATGTTCCTGTGTAATGCAAAGTAATCTGAGTGAGGGTTGGACAAAACCCCAAGTCCTAGCACAGTACCCTACCCACAAGGCCAGCTCAACTTTTCACTGAAGCACTTGTTTTAAACTGAAATACAAACCCTCAATACAGTTCAGTGAAGCCCAGAGTGAACTCTGATTTTATTGCTGTGATTTGTACCCTCATCTCCTTTTGTTCCCTCAGTTGATTTACCTGTTAATCCTGCTAAGTGAAGGACACCTCTTATCTTGGGGACAGTGGGGTTCATTTCCACTAGATCTGTATGATCTTCATAATAATGTTTCTCCCTTCATCTTAATAGTGTTGTACAGTGGTGGTTTAGTGCAATGGAGCTTTAAGAGAACAATTTTGTACAGAACAAAACCTAAGCTATTCATTACCCAGCCTTGGGCTCAGCCCAACATGCCGTTACGTGGTGCAAAAGAGGAGTTACAACCTGTGACAACATATTACAGCCAGGAAAATGAAAATTTTGCTAACTTTTTTTTTTTTTCCCTTCAGTCAGGGCTGGAAAGTCTTAAGGAATTTGCCTGATTTCCCTGACTGCTGGTTATGGCCAGCTGGCTGAGGTGGGCATGTTGTGACTTTGTCTGACCACAAAAAAGATCCTTTGCAAGGCAGTGGCCATTTTTCTTTTCTCCAGCAATATCCTACCAACCAACTATTCTTCTTTTGTCATTTGCTTTTTTTGTATTTTCTTCCTACACTGGATCACCTCATCTGTTGTGTTCTAAAGATGGAGTAAGTAGATGTCAGTTAGAAAAATGGTAGTAAACAATGGACAAAACAGTGATCCACACTGCCTTACCATTAGTTGCTGACATTAGCTAGCCTATGCAGACACAGTTTTTCTTTGTCATGCTTGGTAGAGTATTCACATAAGTGTTCCTCCATGTTTCAATTTAATGTAGGTTCTTCCTTTGAAGGGATCTAACAGAGCACTCACAAATGTGCTAAGCTTATCTCTAGAGTTTCTTTCATTACAAATATAATTACATACAGAAGATATGAGTGTTACGTGAAGGCGAGAAAAAAAAACTGCCAACATGACTGCATACAAAACCAATATATAAATACCTGCTTCTATCCTTATGCATCGTATTTTCCTTCTCCCAAAAGTCACTTTATCTGTGAAAAATAGACTGCCAACATTGCCATCAAAATTGAAGATACATATGGAATACAATTTGGATATTTTCCTTACTGATTTCAGTTCGAAAGGCTGGCTCTGTGTCTTCCCTGGAAAGCCAAGGCAGCTTTGTTAACAAGACCCTGGCAGTTGCTACTGTGATTAGGAAGTGGCAACTCCCTGCTCAGATGCAGCTGAGAGGATTAACGTGAACTCTGAGGGTGTTTTTACTGCAGTTTCTCATTAGGAGATGAAATAAGGTATGGCTTGTTCCTGCAGGCTTAGGTCTATCCTGTAGCACTTTATTATACCTCTAAGGTAAACCCTTGGCCCTCTGCAACAAGGAATATTTTGACACTGACTGCAGTGGGACTGGGACATTGTTTCTTTCCTGTTTATGACGTTCTGCAGTAGGTTTACCTTTCCTTAGATGTCAATGAACAGATGAGCTCTTCAGTAGGAGAGGTATGGAGCACCTCCCATATGAAGACAGGCTGAGAAAGTTAGGGCTGTTCAGCCTGGAGAAGAGAAGGCTGTGTGGAGGCCTCATAGCAGCCTTCCAGTATCTGAAGGGGGCTTATAGGGATGCTGGGGATGGACTCTTCATTAGGGACTGTAGTGATAGGACAAGGGGTAATGGGTTAAAACTTAAACAGGGGAAGTTTAGATTGGATATAAGGAGGAAATTCTTTCCTGTTAGGGTACTGAGGCACTGGAATGGGTTGCTCAGGGAGGTTGTGAATGCTTCATCCCTGGCAGTGTTCAAGGCCAGGTTGGACGAGGCCTTGGGTAATATGGTTTAGAGCGAGGTGTCCCTGCCCGTGGCAGGGGGGCTGGAACTCGATGATCTTAAGGTCCTTTCCAACCCTAACTATTCTATGATTCTATGATTTTCTGAACTATGCTTTCTGGAGGCACAAGTAACAAGTTGGACACTTGTTATCATCAGGTTTCGTAGAAGGGAAAGAGCACTGAGCAAGTCACTGACTCTGTGACAAAAAATTGTTTTTTACATAGAAAATTAGATCTTGTTTTCCTTTTATGTGTTATATTTTCAGTTTATAATAAGAATCAAGTTTCCAAACAAGTTACATTCAGCTAGTAAAAATAGGCTCTTCCCTTCTTTCTTCTTTCTTTGGAAAATGTCTGTAACAAACAACTTAATGGTATTTCTCTCTGTCTGTCTGCATAGCTTCCAAGTTAGAGTTTACTGTCTAGAAAGAGATTTCTGGGAAGAGTCCGGACTCGCCTCTAGAGTGCTCTCTAAACAGCTTTTCAGATAAAAACTGAACTGGTTGGAATTCT